ATTGACGATCGGTACATAGCGCCAACAGGCACAAGGCCGCCCGACCCGCCGTAGCTTGACGAGCCCTCGGTGGCCGCTGGGCAGAAGAAAGAACGAAAAAGAAAACGAAAGTGAGCCTTCGAGCCAATCGTTCCATGCAATAGACAGATGAGGGAAGACGGTCATTACCTGCATCGACGTTTCCTGCGCGGCCGCCGTTCACCGTGATGGCGCCCTTACCACCGCCCACCACGAGGTGCGAAGATCCCGCAATCAACAAGCCCGAAAAGAGCGATGTCTCGCCACTCACCGTTCCTCCGGTGCCATTGACGACGTCTCCGCCATTGCCTCTCGTGATTGTCAACGACCCTGCGCGGACAAGGTTGGTGAGAAAGGTGCTGGGTTTGGGTGTTATGTGTCGAGTTGTGTGTGGTGTGTGTGGTGTGTGTGGTGTGTGTGGTGTGTGTGGTGTGTGTGGTGTGTGTGGTGTGTGTGGTGTGTGTGGTGTGTGTGGTGTGTGTGGTGTGTGTGGTGTGTGTGGTGTGTGTGGTGTGTGTGGTGTGTGTGGTGTGTGTGGTGTGTGTGGTGTGTGTGGTGTGTGTGGTGTGTGTGGTGTGTGTGGTGTGTGTGGTGTGTGTGGTGTGTGTGGTGTGTGTGGTGTGTGCGGTGTGTGCGGTGTGTGCGAACCAGCGATATCTAGGAGAGCAGAATCAAAGCAGATCAAGAAGGCCATGCCCCCAGGGCCTGAGTCCTGCGAGCCGCCGACCACGGAACCGCCGTTGCCGCCCACCAACTCAACCGAACCGTACACATCGATCGTCGCATCGCTAAGAACTGAAGAGTGCCGTGTGATAAGAACAAAAGCGAAGACCACAACGACAAAGTGACACGAAACGAGAAAAGGTAACGAACCAAGGATACCCACAACCAATGTGGGAAGGCCGCCTTGGGCGCCCACGCTGTTGCCGCCACTACAGCCGGTCACGCGCAGATCGCCGCCGATCACGACTTCGGCCTCCCACGTGCCCCACACAATCAGACCGCCCCCGGCAATCCCAATAGAGGAGCCCATGGCGCAGCTGCCGCCTGCACAATAGAGTGGTGGACAATCAGATGAAGATGTCCCCCTAATCTGGGGATTGCAACCGCCAGTCCGGGGGGGGGCAAGTACCAGGTGCGCCCTCAGCGATCGAAGAAGCGGCGTTGCCGGAGAGGATGGACAGGTCGCCACCGACGCGCAGGTTCACGCCTCCTGTGGTTGGCATCGTACCAAATTGGCGGGTCGCTTGCTGGGCTCTTTTCGTCGGCCCGGTGAGGGAGGTGCCACTCTGCGGCGTAAGGAAGAGGTTGGCGGCGACGTTGGATCGAGTGAGCAATTGGAGAGAGAACTAAGCTTCGAAGAGAAGAGGAGCAGTACCAACACAGCGGAGGCGGTGCTGGCGGAGCCGCCAGCGGCGCCGGTGCCACCGGAGCCGCTGGCGACGAGCTGATCACCGGCCACACTGACGGTTCCCGCACCTGTGATTGTGAACTGCGCATTACCTGCCAAGCAAACCGCTGTTGAGCTCCTGCAGCTTGCCACTCTTTAATTTGAGGGGTGGTATGTACCGCCGGTTCCTCCCCTGGCAGCATCGGCCAAGGAGGCGTTACCGCCGCTGCCGGCAAGAATGTGCAGAGAACCGCCGATCAGGGCCTCTCCGCCACTGATCACCGCGAAGACCGCCTGTGCGCTGTCACCTGTGGGAAAAGGATATGTCATTGCTCCTACCATGGACGTAGCGATCTTCTTCTTTCTTCTTCTTTCTTCTTCTTTCTTCCTCTTCTTCGGAGTGGTTAAAAAGGGTACCGCCGTTGGCAGTGTCCGAGGCGCCGTTGCCTCCATCGCCAGACTTGACAAGCACGTCTTTGGCGACGATAAACTGTGCGTTCAAGCCGAGGAGCAGCATTGCGTCCGCCGCCGATCCTCCACTAGCGGTGCTGTTGTGTGTGTGTGTGTGTGTGTGTGCGTGCGTGCGTGCGTGCGTGAGTGCGTGTGTGTGTGTGTGCGTGTGTCACGTAAGTTCCAGCCAAAAAAAGCTCCACCCAAAATGAGCGAAACGAACCCGTTGTGGCCGTGTCCGCTCACTACGCTGACGCTGGATGCCGTGAGTTCGCCGCCGGCCAGGTTGAACGCGGCCAGGCCTGCGGTGAGCTCACCGTCGTGGAGTCCGGTGATCGATCCCGAGCTGACCACCACCGAGCCTGCCACCAACCCATCATAAGATGAACAAGAACAAGAAAAACAACAACTGCAAGTGCGGCACAGCTCGGGTGCTGTGCGACACGACCACGACCACGACCACGACCACGACCACGACCACGACCACGACCACGACCACGACCACGACCAACGACACGACCAACGACACGACCAACGACACGACACGACACGACACGAGGGGGTGCAGTAGATATGTGTACCACCAATGACGATGGATCCGCGGGCGGCAGCGAGTTCTTCGCCGAGGCCGAGGTCGGGAATTTGAAAGACGTCGTACAGCTCACCAGAAAGAGGGGTCAAGCCCATCAAGCCGGCAGGGCCGGTGGCGGTGACAAGCGCGTCGCCCGACTTGATCGCCAGGTCGCCGCCGACGCTCAGCTGACCGCCCACGAACGCGGCCACCACGGAGCCGGTGGAGGGCTGCGCCATGCCGCTCGGGTTCAAGTCTGAGCGAGTCGCCAAGTGCAGGTCGCCTCCAACCTTGAGGAGCAAAAAAAAACGATGTTATTAAAATAAAATAAAATAAAATAAATAAAATGCAATAGTGAAGTTATTTAGAAATCAGAACAATGTAAAATAAATCAAGCCAAAGGGGGTGAGGACGTACTTCCAAGATGGAGTCCCAGTAGAGGAGGGTGCTAGTAGGGGAATAGGAACCGAGAAGACTGAGGTCGCCGGAAACGCTCAGTTGCGAGAAGGTCGACACCGTCAGGTAGGCGTGCGAGGAGTCGGACGTGATGTTGAGTGAGCCTTTGATTGTGAGCTCACAAAGCTCCAGTTCCATAGAGGCTGTATGGCAGAGGGGAAAAAGGAGCAAGTCAATTCTAAGTCCCATTGATCAAGATTGATCAATCTATTGTAGGTCAGCTGTGTTGCTGGGGAGGGGTTTTACCGCTTGAGCCAATGACGGAGAGGTCGCGAGAGAGCTGGATGCTCGACTGCTGGCAATAGAGGCCGGTCCGGTTTCCGGCCTGGTAAATGAGGTCGAGCGGCCCGGTCGAGCTGAGC